TCCCCATCCAGTTTTTGAGAAACTACACTTCTCTTCTAGAACCCAAAGCATCCTGACAATTACACTGTGCTCTGCATCAGATTTCTATGACTTTAGAATGACATTAACTTGGGGCAAACATACTCAATTCTCCAATGAGCACTCCAGAATTCTCCTGTCTCCCTGAGGATGGCCAGGACACACCACTGTCAATCAATAACTGCTCATTTATTTCTACTTCCTTTTTTGCCAAAGTGGAAGGTCAGAAGTCCTATTCTTATTGTAGCTCAGTACAGGAAATAGGAGGAGAGGATTTCCCCCTCCCTCTTATGAGGTAGCTCTGCAGATGTGTCCCTACCACTAAGTGGCAGGTCACATTCTAAAGAGCTAACAATGATGCATCAGGAAACACAGCCACTTATCCCACACAGTCCCACTCTGTTGGAGATGCACATGCGGGAAGGGGTGAAAGGTAGAAGGTCATATTCTTATAGTCATTAAGATCAACTGAATCAACCCAGGAGATGAGCACAGGGACAGGATTCACCACCAAATCACCCTTGTGCCCAGTGAAGGTGTATACTCTAAAGGATTATAAATTATCTTGGGTATCCAGAAACCACTTTTTTTCTAAGGGAAAATGAGATCTACCTTTCAAAAACAAAGTTCAGAAAAGACTACAAAACACAAGAACAGATACACAACTACTAGTGTTCTGTTAAAGATGTGCCATCATTTTAATCCTCCTGACTAAAATTGTTCAAGGCTTAATTCAAGATTTTTTTGCCAGGCAAAATTTAGCTTTGTAGCCTCCTCTTCTCAAACAGACATATTACTCATTATTCTCTTGCATCACTTATCATGAAGATTTTAGTAACAAAAATAAAGCAGAGAAAATAATATTAAAAGGGAGTTTAAAGATTTATACAGAATATGTCAGAATAAACATACCATATGTGCACCAAACACATTATCCTATTGCCTCAATTGTCAAACACACATTTTTAATCTCTCTAAAATTAAGATGTTTTAAAATCCATGTCTGAAGAAATCTGCCAGCTACTCGGAAGAGATGTTACAAGTTAACCATGTCATCACTTCAATGAGTTACCCGAATTGGCAGGAATACTCTAAGTTGAATTTTAACTCAAATTTGAAATCTCTAATCACTGTGTAAAATAGCTTCAAGAAGATTACACTACAACTCAATAAAAATAAAAATTAACTGTGTATAGAGAAGATGGCTTGTCACATGCCAGGCAACATAATTAAAGGCAGTAGAAATTGCCAAATCTCTCAGAATAGATCAGAAAATTTTCACAATCTAGAAAAGGCTGGTTCTGATGAACATCCAAGAGAAGGTACTTAACTTCTACGGACATTTAACTCATTTAAGATAAAAAACAAAATTACAAGTTTAACAAAGAGGAAATACTGTCAAAATCAAGAAAGTCTTCCATATGCTTCACAAACACTCTCAGTCCTAAAGGTGAAGAAGTAAAAATAAATAGCATCAATTATTTCGAAAAAGTTATGTCGCCATGATGCTTTGGCTAAAAGTGATTCAGAGAAAACAGTCAATGTGAAATAATGCTAAGTTTTAAATTTTAATTCTATACTTAAGAAAAAAGTGGTATATAACTTAAGATATACTGAAGATACAAAGTTTAACAAATCTATGTGCATTTAATGTAATGTAATATAATTTTTTACCCACCCAAAAAAAGGCGTTACTACATATATGATGAGTCGCAATCACTTGAGGTTAAAAAAATAAATGCAGGAATGGATAGAATGTTTCCATTCTTGAGAAAACAGCCAATCACTTGGGAAAACACAATATTAAAAAATTAACATAATCTTGCACATTACTTAATGAGTGCTTTTTAGTAACACACATTACTGAATGTATGCTACTTAGAGCAATAAGTATAATCTCTGTTTTGTCTTTGCTTATGAGGCTATCATAGCTCCAGCAGTAAGTTTAGCCTTCAGAGAGAAGAATTAACAAACTAGAGTTTCACTAAAAGATGATGATGAAGATTTTCCTTTACTTATTTAACACACACATAGCATTTACTATGTTTCAGGCACCATTTTAAGGATGCTACTTACGTATGAAGAATGAATACAGAAGTTAGGAATGTTTACCTGAAGATAAGCAGAACATGATCGCTCTTATCAGATATCTAAAGGGCTATCATGTGAATGAGGTAGCCCATTTATCTGTGTCATTAAATAAAAAAGGCACAGACCAAACAAGAGTGAGAGATTTGGACTCCACAGAAAAACTTTGAGAGCTGTCTAATGGCAGAATCTCTCTACAAGGTTATTATAAGGACTAAATGTGAACATATGTATTAAAGAACTTGGCTGTAAACTGCCACATACACATTATTAGACCTGACTTCTTTCCTGATCAATAGAAATATTTACAAAGAGGTTGACCACTGTTTGGAGTTCTAGTTATTAATTCATTTCCCAGCTTTGCAACTTATAATAAGTATGCAACTTTAGAAAAGTTTCCTTATGTCTCAAGGCTTACTTTTCCCACCTTTAAAATAAAGATAAAACTGTCTGCTTTCGCACGGTCACTGTGAGAATTAAATATGATAATGTATGTAAACACTTAGCATAGTACTGACACACTCAATAAATTGTATCTATGATGATGATCCTCATCATCATTATAATGCCGTGGAAGGAATCTCTACAGTGAATATGAAACTGTGATATAATGTGGTATGATTAAATGGCTCTGCTATGCACCTGCATGAGTAAATGATTCTGCTATGCACTTATCATGTTATAACAATCCAACTATAACACATAGCTTGTTTTTGTTTGGATGACTTAAAAAGTATTTATCTTTTGTAATTTGAAAGGAGAAATATTCTAAATAATCTAAACAAAGCATCCAGGTTACTCAACTATCAAGTGTAAAAGTAACGTAAAATAGCAGGGAAATTATGCAGCTCCAGGGGAAAAAGGGATTAAAGAAGTAGCATACTGAATACAAGCTACTCCTCCTAGGAGACTTCACTGCAGGACATGAGAATGTATTTGCAGGGAAAAAAACAATTACACTTTCCACAGGTATGTGAAACACTGGTTACATTCACCAGAAATTTCAACAATATAAGGGAAGCTAAGTACAATGCAAACATTTGATATATGGAGGCAATTTAAAAAGTGAATTTCAGTGGGCTACGGACAAGAGTTTAAGGGTATTTAGGATTCTAATTACTTTGAACAGAATTTGTACTTTAACAAACTAACTCCTAAATGTTGGATTATAGTATATGGAAGCCCAATGATCCTGCAATTCAGTAATTTCTGTGATCAACCAAGAAAATGAGTTCTAACATACTATACAATTGTACTTTGTCAATCATATTCATCTATCTCTTCTTTCAAAGAAAATTAACTAAAGGAAACTTACCTGCTTTCAGGGATATTTCTTGGAAAGCCAATGGCCATAAAATAAAACATACATACACACATAGCATATAGTATATAGCTACTATGAAGACCAAATCTGAAAAACTTCCTAATAATTCACTAGTAACCCGAAGCTACAACACATCTCCCACTAAAAACTCTTTTCCAAAGAGTTAGAACATAATTACCATCAACAAACAATATTATGCTTGATGTAATAATAGTAAAACGATTAAATAAATTAAATGTAGGAATGAAAAACTGGATGCAGTTTTCAGGAACTTTTAGGGGGATTTGATTTACGATAAATGACAGGTAGTGATATTATTACAATACTGTAAATTCAGAATACAAGTGCAGTTGTTAGAAAATTATACAACCAATAGAAATCTTACTTTTAATCTCAATTTTTGCCCTAATTTTAGATAAGAAGCCTACAGTCCAGTGGAATTAAGGGAGCTTATTCCACAGGCAAGTATTTCATTAATGTGTTAAATTATTTTGAGCACAGTTAAGTGTTCTAACTGAATGTATGCAATAGTCATGTTCAGTTGTATTAAAAGCAGGGCTATCGACATTTGCCAAATACCTAGTTTAAAATGGCCTATCTATGTAATGTTGTGGATATCAGTGTTTACATTAGTTTTCATTAATAAATTTACTGTTGCTTAAAAGTCAACTCAATCATGTTATGTTCTTAAAACTAAAGAAACAGAAAAAAATCAGCTGACGAGTTAAGGCAAAAAAGTAAAAATAAAGTCCTTCAATAACAAATGCTACATTTTGTCATATAGGCAATGATGAAGTTACAATGAAAAAACCACAGTATTATTTTTAGTTACAGTCTTCAAGATGAAACATTACTATTAGAATTACCTATGTAAAACAAGACAAAAATCTCAAAACTGTACCCCAACAAAATTTTAGCTACTCAAAAGTCATTTTACTTGCTCTAGGTATCAAATGCCAACAAGTTTGTACTATGTGGCTTTTAGAAGTCAAAGCACTCTAAATGCCATCTTAAATGCAAAATGTAGACACTCTGTATCAGAGTAAGTTTCCTAAAAGCAGGGTGGAAAAAAAAGACAACCTGATGGCAGGTAGCAATCACAACCAGTTGCACTCAAGTTGGGATCTGCACCCGGGTAAGGGAGGAAGGTGGGCAATATACCCATATGTCCCAAAGTGGGACATATCCCAAGGTGGGAGGTGGGAAGAGCAAGGAAAGAAATACAGTTCCATAAACAAAGCAAGCAAGCCAGGTTGAAGGAGAGGCAACCTAAAATACCTTATAATCAAGACAACACATACTGAAGGCCTGTCACATAAACAAAACAGCTTCTCACGAGAAACTTTGAAGTGGGCAAGGAGGAAACATTCCTTTGCACCCACAAGAGCCCATCCCCTGTCCACTAGCATTCTGTTTACCGAATCCGTCATGATTTACGGGCCCTGGGCCCCGATGCTGGCCACAGGCGGGGAAAGAAGGGTCCGTGGGAGAGGAGCCTAGGATTCCAGAGGCCTGGGGAGGCACACCCCGTTAGGGGAAGGAGAGGTGGAGCGGGGAGAGCACTCCTCACCGTGATTATCTTTCTGCCCGATATTGTGCGTGCGGATGAGAGAAGACAGCCTCCTCACATCCCCCTTGAAGACGCACTCGTGCACCGGGTAGTGTGCGGGGCAACTGCCTCCATCTGCGACGACAGCAATGGGGTTGGTGCCCGCTAGAAGAGTCTGGGACGGGGAGGTGGCGGTTACGGAGGAATTGTGCAGCGGCAGGGCCGGGGCGCCGGGGGGGTTGGAGGAGGCCGGAGCTGTCTTCAGCTGCAGCCGGTGGTGATGGTTACTGAAGATCTTATGACAGGCTTTGCCGACCTTGCCGCTGCCGCCTGTGCCAGTCCTGCCTCCGGTAAAGGTGCCGCCGAGGGCAGCCGCCGCTTCCTCATCCCCGGGCTCCAGCAGGTCCCCTTCTTCTTTGCTGGGCTTGTGGTCCCTCCGCAGTGAGCGGATCTTCTCCCCGGTCATCGCCGCCGCCAGGGGCTGAAAGGGGATCCCGGAGGCTAACCGCCGGCGACGGAACGGGCGCTGCGGCGGCACGAGGCGATTAGAGCGGTGGCCCGGAGACTCCTTCGCAGCATGAACTCCCAGAGACCCCCCGAGCCCGGAACAAACGCATCTCCCGGAGGAAGAAGAGCGGGCTCTCGTCTAGGCACGAAAGGACGTGCGCTCGCTGGGGGGAGCTAGAGCTCAGATGCCCACGACAGCAGGATCCCTACCCCCGCCGCCGCCGCCGGAGCGGCCGCCACTGCCTCACCCCGAAAAGCAGGGTACGGCCATCTTCCCTTGGCTTCTCTCGCGAGAGCTCCGCCGGGAGGGAGAAGGGAGGAAACACCGCGAGAAGTGAGCGGCCCGCTCCCGCCCCCGCACCTTGTATTCCGGGAGAGGAGCCGAGCGTCCGCGCCTTCCCGGCCGCGTGTTTCCGCCCCAAGCTGGCGTCTCGGAATTAGAACGCTGAGACCCGGCACTCCCTGAGGCCGCGCTTCTTGTGGAAGTTCGGAAACAGTCTACGTTTAACTATTCGATGCATCTTACAAATAAATGTCTTATACGCCGTCCGACTTCCGGGTCTCCCTCCGAGCAGTGCAGACGGACGCCCTGCACGCAGGATGTGATGTCACTGAGCTGCCCCGGACAGTGATTCAGTCAACATTTGCTAAGCATCTACTTTGTGCCGTTCGCTGAGCTAGTAGATTTATAAAACGCCACCCCTGGCTCGAAGGAGCGCAGTACAGGAGGAAAGATAGTGAGACAAGTGGATACAATCTTGAACCGCGAGAGGAAGGAAGTGGAAGCCGGGAGCTGGGTCGCACAAAAAAGGGAGAGGCCAATTTTAGTGTTGTGTCAGAAAAGTCACCGTAGAAGAGTTTAGGGGCTGACCTTGGAAAAGAGGCTATTCAGCAGAAAGAGAGAGGGACGGTCGCTCAAATATTTGTTAATCAATTTCGGGCAGGCGTCAGAGTTTAAGTATGGGGAGTGGACGCTGAAGGATGGCAAATAATAATTGTGTAACTGGACTATCACTGACTAGTTCATGGCCAACCTCGACCGAGCGTCAGGTTCTAATAAAAACACGTAAATCTGACATCCATAGAGACTTGACAAAATAAAGCTGTGGGGAACTGGAGGGGAGGAAAGTTAGCAAAATGTCCTCAAGATAACCCATTTATCTCTGCAAAGTCCCATTTACTCTGACAGATGCTTCTCTCAAATCTCTTGTCTTAAACTGTATTACCACCTCCATCTCCCCGCAAATAAATAAATAAATAAATAAATAAATAAATAACGCAGTAGGAACTGGCGTCTCTCTCTTCATGCTCCCCTGCCACTCAGGTTTCACTTCCCATCTTCTTTCAAATGTATTGAACCTCTTCCTTTCGTCCTTTTCTTTCTTTTTTTTTTGGGCGGGGTGGAAATTGTTTCAATTCTGTGCAAGCTTTACCCAATCAGCACCTCAAAAGACCCTACTCAGATGTCAAGAGAGACTGAACACATATATAGAAGTACATTTTGTTCTTCCATAATGGCCAATATTTATTAACTCTAAACCAGGCAGTATGCTTGGCACTTTATATGCAGTTATCGCCTTGTGATAAGTATCATTTTCAATCTTCATTTGACAGTTGAAAAACCTTGCCCAATGCCTTAAAGCTGGTATACAGTACAGTCAAGTCTGACTGCAGGGCTAGAGAAAAAGGAAGGGGCCAGATCATGCAGAACTTTGTAAGTCATCTTAAAAGTTTAGACTTTATCCTAAAAGAAATGGAAAGCCTTTTAGGGATGTGAAACAGGGGCATAGCATGCCTTTTAGAAAAGTCACTCACTCACTCATACTTTGGAAAAGTATGTATTCAGAAAAGATTACAAGGGGACTACTAGAGAGACAAGGAAACTGAGAGATTACTGCATAGATAATAATAATGTGTTAATATTTGGGTGTAAAAGGTAAAATATGTACATCACATAGGGTTAACAGTGGTTATCTCTGGAAGATGGAATTGCTAAATCACATATTGCTTGAATTTCTTTTTACAATGAGAAAGTTACTTTTCATTAATCAGAAAAAAAATTAATTTTTTAAGTATGCATTAATTCAGGTGATAAAAGATAATGAGAGCATGAACCAAGTTAGTAAGAGTGAGGCTAAAGATGGTTTAAGAATTTTTTTAAAAATGAGTTCAGTTTTGGCATATTGAAGGTTCTAGTTGCTCACCCAGGAGTTAGATGGCATATATATATATATATATATATATATATATATATATATATATGAACGATACTTTGAAATGAACCTTAAGAGGCAGAGATCTGGGTTAAGATTCAGGAGTTATCATTTATGCAGTAATTGATGCCACAGAAGTCACTGAGTGCCTTAAGGAAGTTATATATAGAGAAATTAATATCCAGTCTAGAAAAAAACCTTGAAAACATCAATATATAAATAATGTGTACAAGAAGAGTGGCCAGCATCCTGTTATTATCGAAAACCTATACCATTGCTAACAATTGTCACCCCAATAAACTTTAATTAAAAAAAAAACCTATACCAAATAGTCTACCATTATATCTGTGAAGTATCTTATCACTGGCCCCAGAATTTAAAAGTACCTTATTAGTGGCTCCCATTCATGGACAGATGTGGAAACTCCTAAGTGTCCTCCCCCCCAAAATAAAAAACTTTAGACTTCAAAAATAATGTTCAGCCCTTACTTTTAAGCGCTCCATAGTAGAATAGGGAAAAATAATTTAGAAATATAAGATTAAAATACATTGTGAAAAATATAAGAATTGAAATTATATGAGATCCTGGTACAATAAAGAAGAAATTATTAATTTTATCTGAAGGAAATGAAAGTCAGGTGATCAGGAAATATTTCTGGAAGAGGTAATGTTCGGACTGGGTTTTAAAGAAGGTGTAGGAGTTGGCCAATTAGACAAGGGGGAAAGGTATAATAGGTAATATTAGCTATCATTTATTGAGAGCTTACCATGCATTAGGCATTGTTCCAAGCAAATTTCAATAACTAGTTGATACAATCCCCACAAAAAAAATCTATGAGGTATTTACAGTCCCCATTTTACAGATAAGGTAACTGAGGCACAGGAAGCGATCATCCAGCTGATGAGTAGAGGTAAAGAGAATAGTATGTATAAATACAGCATGATATCTGAGAATCATTGAAGCATAGCATGTGACAGGGAAAGTGATGGTAAATGTGACTAGAAAGAAAAGCCTGAGCTACATTATAAAGAACAACTGTATAAAACTTGGACTCTGTGTAGAAAATGGAGAGTTTGCAAAGGATTTCAAACACAGTAAAGAAAGAATCACTTTTAATCATCATAATATACAATCAACTTATATTCCAAAGATATGAGATTTTGCCAGTCTTTCCAGCTTCACCTCCTACCACAATGCCAAATTCATTCTTCATGCTAACCAATACAATCTGACAGTCCCTTACCCTCTCTCATGCAGCCATGCCTTTGCACATGCTGTTCCATATGACCCAAATTCATTTCTATATCATTCACCTAGATACCTCCTTCAATCTGTCTAAAATTAGTTCAAATAGTATTCTTAGCACAAGATTTTGTTTGTTTGTTTTTAAAACTTGGTCTAGAATTCAGGGGTCCAGGAAATTACATCAAGCTAAGACTCTAAATAAAATTTAGCATATCCCTTCTATTATGAATGTAGACCACAAACCACAATAGTATTAGCAATACCTGCTTTATTGCAACCAAAAGAAACCACAGATATTTTTGTATCACTACAATTGCTGTAGGTAATCAAAATAACATGTGCATTCATCACTACCTCAAAACTATGTTAAGAGTTCAGCCCACCACTAGATCTTGTTCTTTAATGAGCTAATAAAGCAGCCTATATATTACTATATCACAAATTTGTTTTTAAAAATATTTCAATACCTATTTTAATACCTCATATTTCCTTTGTAATCCAAACTATAGTATGCATTTGAAAACATTGTTCTGAAGTGGGGTCTCTAGGCTTTACCATACTGCCAAAGAGGTCCAAACAAAGATTAGTAACTCCTTCTTAGGAGTCTTTCATGACACCTGCTCTCCCCGCCTCTCCTCCCCTATTCAACACCCCACCATTCTGAATTAGGTGTCCCCCCTTTGCCTTATTTCTGATTTCCCATTGTCACTTTTGCATACCTATTTGATATTCTTGTCTGCCTCCTTAACTAGTCCTTTCAGCTGAGTACTGGAACTAAGTTTACCACCATTGTATGCACAGTACCTTACAGATGGTGACATACTGAATGCTTAACACATTGAGGACGGGGCATTTAAATGTACAGACGCAAATCTGCGTCCCCGGTACACAATGTGTTTAATGTTCATAATAAACACTTGTAGAATGAATCAATTAGAACATAAAACCCCAAAGTATATACAACGTACGAAGATAACTATAAACAAAGTGACAAGATGCTGTAAAGTTCAGACAATTAATAAAGAGGCTGGATATTAAATTAGGGTTCCGAAGATTTTATTAAGTTGAGCTCAGCGACCGTCTCCCCCGCTAAAAGGAGAACGGCCACCAGGCTCGGGGGTCTGGCTTTTTATAAGGCAGGGCTATATGCAAAGTAAGTTACAGAAGTTAAAAAGAACGTGTAGTTATTCCAGTAAAAACCGCATTCCACTATCACAACAGTGCTGTTTTATGTTCAGATGTTTTAACAGTATATCGTAACTGGGTTGAGCTGACCACACAGCCTGTCCCCTAAACTTGAAAACACCTTTGAAGTATAAAGATAGGGGCCATGGGAGCCAACTGTCCTTTTGATATGTTAAAATAAAAGCGAGGGGAGAGTTAATTGCAGTGAGGCCTTTTGGCGTGTTAAGATAGGAGCAAGGAGCCAGTTTGCTGCTGTGAGGCTTTTTGGTATGTTAAAATAAAAGCGAGGGGAGGAAGGGGGAACTGAGGAATGTCTTTTCTTTAACCTTTTATTCCCCGGCAGAAGCAAAGCAGGTATACAGAAGCAAAAAGGAGCTGTTAGTTTTTTAGAGTCTTTGGGAGTAGCTGAAGTATAATTTTTAACGTGAGTCTGTCTGGCCTAGGGTCCGGGCCCAGATCCTTACATTGCTAAATAAATTTAAATAATCCCAATCTGACTACACTGAAGTTTACTACTGTCTTGGATTCTTAGGTGAGGCCTAACGGTAGATATATCATTTTGGGTTTCTTGTTTTTTTTATAATTATGAATAACAGTAAATTCAATCGAAAATGGCTTAAAGGGATTTATGGGCTTACATAACAGAAAGGTGAGGAGATATGTCTTCCAGAGTGACCCTCTCCAAAGGAAAAAAAAAGAGTGACCCCCTCCAAACCACATGTTAGTTTCTCGGTGACACTCAGGGAGCCTCTCCTTGTTGAGAGCATCCTCAGGAGGCCAGCTTCCCTCAAAGGAACAATATCGCTGCAAGTGATAACAGGGGCCACGTACTTCTTCCTTCAGATCTAGAAGGATGGCTGGAAACTACAGAAGTCTGGTGTCTGACATTCATAAGAGGACCCTGTCCAATCCTTGTGTCCAGGAAAGTGTTGGTTGGCTCAGGCCTGAGTTAACAGAAAAAATCTCTGTGTGGGAGGAGATTACCCTGATCATCTTTGCCCAATCAGCACTCATTTCTGAGCCAGACAGGGTGAGGCCAAGCCCTCCAAACTGAAAAACTATTTCATAATGAGAATGAGCTGAGAAAGATTATGGGGAGACAAACACAAGAGC